TAATAATAATAATAATAATAATAATAATAATAATAATAATAATAATAATAATAATAATAATAATAATAATAATAAATAATAGCAGCACACTGAAGAAGGATTTGAACATGCACTTTTTAAACATTGGCTCATGTGCTGCCACCACATTGCACAGCAAGCTGTTTTGGAATTGAAATGGATTTCTAATGCCATTTGTGATATGGTGGTCTGCAATTAAAATAGTGGAGGGGACAAAAGTGTTCCAATAAATCCATGCAAACCTTTGGACATGCTTAGAGTACTTTGTGAATCCCAGCCTTTTTGTCTATAGTTATTGAGCTGGAAAATAACACTTGATTATCTAATGTTCTGAATATTTTAAAATTTTCAGAATTGATTCTAGAACATAGTTTTGTAAGATTATTTAAGTTTGACATGATTTAAATTTTTGTAAATTTGTGAAGGTAAGTGATTCAATTCCATTAATTCTGAATTCATATAAAAGCTGTGAACGATTATTAGGAGGGGAAAGTGTGATTTTTCTCCCTCTTCCCCCAGTTGCTTATTCCTGAAAAGTTAGGAAAGGAACATTACCAGAGCCCCACTGGGAGCTGTTCCAGTACTAGAGCTTCACAGGAAACTCAATTACCATGAAGTCCTTTTCTGTAGGGAAAAAGTGCAATCTGGAGGGCAGGAGTGGGGGAAGACTTCAGTGCTTTCCTTCTGTTCTCCTGTGCTCCATTTGAAAGCATCTTTGGAGACTTTAATCTGAATCAAAGTTGTAGTCAGAAGAGTGGGTTACCACTTTTTCCTGAAGATTGTCAGATGCAAACCACCACCACATTGCTGTTTTGTAAATAATAACAGAAAAGTACAGATTTCGAACTAGAAAACAGTTGTGGGGAGAAAGTATTTTTTTAAGTTGTTTTGGGTTTTCTGGGCTGTTTGGCTGTGTTCTTAAGGTTTTGCTTCCTAATGTTTTGCCAGTCTCTGTGGCCAGCATCTTCAGAGGACAGGAACCAGAACTCTTTCTGTGCTCTGGTGCACTTTGTTTGGGTAGTTGAGTATTTATAGCTGTGGGAACAGCTTTTGTCCTTTTCAGGAGATTGGGTGATTATGGTGATCAGCGTGTTTTTTGTTGTGGGTGTATTGTTGTCATAAGGGGGAGAGATGATCTGTCTCTGTGATTGATGGGTGTCGGTAGCTGGTTTTTGTGTGCAGTGATCACCAGTCCTTTTGGCTTTTGCAGGCTGTATTTTTCAGTGCTGGGAGCCAGGCTTTGTTGAGTTTTAAACTTTCTTCTATTTTGTTGAAGCTCTGCTGGTGTTTGTGGATTTCAATGGCTTCCCTGTGTAGTCTAACATAATTATTGATCTTAAACATAAGTAACTCTGTATTTTGAAATAGAGAATACATTTTAAAGTGTTTATTTGTTTATTTAATTTATACACCACCCAGTTAGTGAATTCAAACTACTCTGGGCAGTGTACAAAAAAGCAAAACCCTACAACTCCCTCCTCTGTATTCCCATAAAAACATAATAACATACTCAAAATGGCAATATAACTGACTCTGGTGTGGTCATCTATAGGAAATTAAGGTTCAAGCAAAATCACCATCATTTGGGAGTAGGATGACCTTATATACCACTCTCTTGAATAATTACTTGAATATTGGGAGGTACTGAGCCTGACACAACTTAGTTGGTATCACCACAAAGTGGGGGATATAACTGAGAAAGCCTGACTCTTCTTTGTTATCTTTCTGGCTTCCCTTGTTGTAGCCATATTTAACACTGTCGATTGTGTGTGATAGGGCTGGCTGATTGCCCATGTGACCGGGGAAGTACTGCTCCTTCTAATTACCCCCCCATCTTAAACATAGGGTTAATACAGGACATTAATCCTAGTTTGACCTTCATATCTCAGTGTCTGAAACTTAGAAATCGTTTCTGGAACTTAATAGAAGCAGGTGTGTCTCAAGCAGCAGAAACCAAATACAGAAACTTGAGCCTTTGACTTTAAAGAAGTGAGGATTTGCTTTCTTGAATTGTGTCCTGTGAGAGCCTCAGTGTTTGGCAGGAACTTCATGGAGAGTAGCTTTTTTGAGACAAATAAGTTCTGAAGCTAAGAATATGTTAAATTGATTTTGACTGACAACTTCATTATGGTTATGATATTTCCATTGCAAAAGTTTGGCTTTTTATCAGATGGCTGCTACATAAACAAGCTTTTTGACAAAAAAAGTCATCATAAAATGAAATGAAAAGCTATGCCATAATTTACATTTGTCAATAACTAACTGCTTTTGAATTGTTGTATTTTTCTGGAGTGTCTGGAAAATGAAAGCTCTGTATGTGCTGTCACAAAAGTGTTTGTGCCTATAGGATTGACACTGTTTACGCAAATAAAAATAGTTATTTTGCTTAATTATATATTAAATAGTAATACAGTAACTGCCAGTTCTGACATGCGCAGTCTAAAACATTTTTATCAAGAGCGCAACATTAGACTGTTAGAAACTGATTTTTTTTTTTAAAAGATGACTACAATAAGTAGGTTTTTAATGTCCATTTAACTGTAATGGAGTTGGCATGTAGCAAGGCTGGGAAGAGATGGAATTAGTTTACTCCTGTTCTCTTCTTTATGATCTCCAGGAGAAGCTTCTTGAGGATAATGTTACCTCATTTGATGGCTACCCGGGTAAAAATTTCTTCTGTGGCACTTTCGTGGTTTACTCGTTAAGTTGTGTCCGACTCTTCATGACCCCATGGACCAGAAGCACGCCAGGCCCTCCTGTCTTTCACTGCCTCCCGGAGTTGGGTCAAACTCATGTTGGTTGCTTCGATGACACTGTCCAACCATCTCGTCCTCTGTCATCCCCTTCTCCTCTTGCCATCACACTTTCCCAACATCAGGGTCTTTTCCAGGGAGTCTTCTCTTCTCAGGAGATGGCCAAAGTATTGGAGCCTCAGCTTCAGGATCTGTCGTTCCAGTGAGCACTCAGGGTTAATTTCCTTCAGAATGGATAGGTTTGTTCTCCTCTCAAGAGTCTCCTCAATTCAATTCAAAAGCATCAATTCTTTGGTGGTCAGCCTTCTTTATGGTCCAGATCTCACTTCCATACATCACTACCGGTAAAACCATAGCTTTGACTATGCCGACCTTTGTCGGCAAGGTGATGTCTCTGCTTTTTAAGATGCTGTCTAGGTTTGTCATCGCCTTCTTCCCAAGAAGCAGGTGTCTTTTAATTTTGTGGCTGCTGTCACCATCTGCAGTGATCATGGAGCTCTAGAAAGTAAAATCTGTCACTACCTCCATATCTTCCCCTTCTATTTGCCAGGAGGTGATGGGACGAGGGACCATGATCTTAGTTTTTGTGATGTTGAACTTCAGACCATTTTTGAGCTCTCCTCTTTCACCCTCATTAAGAGGTTCTTTAATTCCTCCTCACTTTCTGCCATCAGAGTGGTATCATCTGCATAGCTGAGATTGTTGATATTTCTTCCGGCTATCTTAATTCTGGCTTGGGATTCATCCAGTCCTGCCTTTCACATGATGTATTCTGTATATAAGTTAAATAAACAGGGAAACAATATACAGCCTTATCGTACTCCTTTCCCAATTTTGAACCAATGAGTTGTTCCATATCCAGTTCCAACTGTTGCTTCCTGTCCCACATAGAGATTTCTCAGGAGACAGATAAGGTGGTCAGGCACTCTGATTTCTTTAAAAACTTGCCATAGCTTACTGTGGTCCACACAATCAAAGGCTTTTGCATAGTCAATGAAGTGAAAGTAGATGTTTTTCTGGAACTCTCTGAATTTCTCCATAAAATATAGCCAATATTCTTGAACAGATCTCTGGTTTTTCCCTTTCTATTATTTTCCTCTATATCTTTGCACTGTTCATTTAAGAAGGCCCTCTTGTCTCTCCTTGCTATTCTTTGGAAGTCTGCATTCAATTTTCTGTAACTTTCCCTATCTCCCTTGCATTTTGTTTCCCTTCTCCTCTCTGCTATTTGTGAGGCCTCGTTGGACAGCCACTTGCTTTCTTGCATTTCCTTTTCTTTGGGAATGTTTTTTGTTGCTGCCTCCTGTACAATGTTATGAGCCTCCATTCATAATTCTTCCGGCATTTTGTCCACCAAATCTAGTTCCTTAAATCTGTTCTTCACTTCCACTGTGTATCATAAGGGATTTGGTTTAGATTATACCTGACTAGCCCAGTGGTTTTTCCTACTCTCTTTAGTTTAAACTTGCATGTGTAGAATTGCCTCTTTGTTGTTGGAAAAGAGTGTTTGTGATGACCAGCTTGTTCTCCTGACAAAACTCTATTAACCTTTGCCCTACTTCATTTTGAACTCCAAGGCCAAACTTCCCTGTTGTTCCTTTTATCTCTTGACTCCCTGCTTTAGCATTCCAATCCCCTATAATGAGAAGAACATCTTTCTTTGATGTCAGTTCTAGAAGGTGTTGTAAGTCTTCATAGAATGTAGCACTAGGAAACATCCAATTGCTAGAAATCCATTGACTCAATCAGTGAATGGGGTGACCGCACTTACGTAAATCCCATTTGTTCAATAGGTCTGCTCTAACTGTGGTTGCATTTTGGATTTAAATCATTGGCTGACATCCTGTTGCTTAGTGTAGCAAGTCGCACTAGAGTAGCCCTGCTGAATTAGTGGAGATTTTGTGAGCCAACTCATCTGTAAGTTCTATTGATTCAATAGGTCTACTCCAGTTGCAGATTACTTTAGCATAGTGAACCCTAGGAAACTCCCCCAATATGTATCCTTCAGTACTCCTAATCAGAATCTGAAGTTAACTTCCTGACATTTCAGATTTAAAAAAAAAATATTTTGAGTCCTGGAATTCCACTCCTGCAACTAGTCTACCCTTACTATACATCTTGCAGATTATATGATTTTTTTTCAAAATTTTCATTAATTTGATGTTTCTAAATTATTTTTGTTGATTTCAGATGTTCATGCTTGTGCTCTGTAACCCAGTGATTTTTTTTAAATACAAAGTATAAAGTATAAATAGAAAGAATAAATAACGGGAAAAGACTTTTTAAATCCACTGCCATATTGCATCTTGTTATGGCTGTTCGTGTCCAAAGTGCAGAAATAGCAGGACAGTTCTAGAAAATGTAAAGTCATATTGTTGCACCCATTGAACAGAACTTTGCTGTTGGCTATCTGGTGTCATTTATTGTATCTGAACTAATAAGTATCAAGTGAGATATCTCAAGAACAGGTGGTGCATGTCTTGACTGAAAACATTTATAAATCTCAGCCTATTATTTGTCTGATCTCAGACATCCAGGAGCTGTTTCTCACTTGAAAATTAATGTGGCTTTAAAAAAAAGTGAGAGCCTCATTTAATACTCAATGATAATGATTGCATTTTTTAAACAGGATGTATTTAGTTTTCAAGCATCTCCTGATATGAAGCCCATCAAGCTGAATGAGATGGCAATTCGGAAACGTTTAACAATCCATGGAGATGAAGACAGAGAAGTTGATCCTGCAGACTATGTGCTGCAAGTCAGCGGGCGACTCGAATATGTCTTTGGTGACCATCCATTAATCCAGTTCCAGGTATTCACTCTTCCTAAAAAAAAACACAAAAGAACAATTTGAAAAGCCATATGACTGGAATTAAGACAGGCTTGAACAGTAGTGACCTTCTGTTTTTGTTTGCTTTTTTCAAACTGCAACTCTAATATTCCTTCACCATTTGCCATTTAGGACAAGATGGGAGTTGCCACTTAATGAACATCTGGAGGGCCACAGTTGCCAACCCCTACTGTGGAAATGTGAATTGGGAAAAAGAAACACTTTTTAAATGGAAACAAAAAAATTATGACACACATTTCGGTTCTTTTTTAAAAAGCTTTTTTAGTAATGTTAGCACATGAACATTCATGATTATTAAAGATCTGAAGACAGGCATAGTACTGTATCCAATAAAATTCACTTTTGAATTGTCTAGTTATATCTCATCATCATCATCATAGAACTATAGAGCTAGGAGGGACTTTGTGGATCATCAAGGAAGGCACAGTGAGGAATTCGAAATCCCTGTGGCTCCACAACCAGATACCTAAGCCACTGTGATATCTAGCAGTTCATGTGAAGTTCATCAAGAAACCTGAATTTATTTATTTTTATTTCCTATCTGACATTTTCTCATTATATATAGGCCTAATTAAAGCATGTTTTAGGGACTTTACATTTAATTTTCATAATGCAAATAACAGAATGGTTGTCAATTCTCTTCTTAGTATATCCACCATTGTGTGATGTGCAGAACTCTTCCTCAGTTGACCCTGGTTGAATGCAGCACTATTAAAAAAATGTGCCAACAGGAAATGATTGCTATAGAAGCTGCCATAAACCGAAAATCCCACAATATTCCTCTTCCTCTACCACCCAAAAAATCACGTGTAAGTCTGTGGGTAAAGGAGTTGATTGCAGAGGGGTTGCCTAGAATTATTTTGGAGGCATAATGTATTTTAAGAATCAGTGTATTATATGCAGAGGGTATGAGCTAATCAACTAAACATGCATCTTAAAGTGACCACCTACTAAGCTTACATAGATGTTACTCTTAGCAAGATCAAAACACTGGTTGAGAGTTTACAGTGTGTGTGTGGTTGGGTATGTGGTTATGTTGGACAACGAATTGGTGAACAGATCCTTGGTAGGATTTTTTTTTCTAGAAAAAAAATTCTGGAGCCTTACTCTTTTGGATTCCTTTTTCCTGTAACCCAGCCACTGAAAGGAGTGAAATGACTGAGTTAAGTATCTTTGGCCTGACACAGCTGATAGATCCAATCCTGGGACCTCTTGATAACCAAAAGGGCTTGGGAGCCATTAAATTCAAGAGCACTCCAGTACATTCCCAAAATGCACTGTTTGAAAGCTTATTAACAGTAGTGGATCTGTGGTTGTTGAGTTTCTCTGGGTGTACTAAGAGGTTGTGCCATGTGTTGGAACTCTTCTCCTCTAGGAAAATTAGCCCTGTTCAGCTGGTCAACCTGAAAGTTAGTCCAGTACATTAAAATTGGCAGGATTTTGGAATATATACCCTTCTCAAAGGGCACAAAAAACCTCACAATGTTGTTTCCTTTGTACCACCAGGTAATAAAAAGTGTATGGGACATTAGCCATCCTTTCAAGGTTATCCTGGTGAATGGCAGCAAATTCAACACAGAAGAAACTGCCAAAGTAAGTAAATCTCTCTCAAACATACAAAGTATTTTCACTTGTCATTTTACCTCTTTTTTTCAATCTCTTTTTCATACCAGGACCACATTTGGTTATTCGAAGACGTGCTTCACAAATCAGTTTAGATCGCTCAGTGAGTTGGGTACTTGGCTTTGGAGCCAAAGGCCAAGAGTTCAATTCCCCACTTGTAGGAAAAGAACCACCTATGTGACCTTAGGGGGTCCCATAGCAGCCCCAGAAGAAGACAATGATAAACCACCTCTGGGTATTCCAGAGCTTCTGAAAAGGTCTCCATAAGCTGGAATCAGCTTGTTAATATATAATTGTATTGTTTATTTAACAAACCGGAATCATGACTTCCTAGTAATTTCCTCCAAGTTCATACCATGACCACATTTGGTTATTCAAAGACGTGCTTCACAAATCAGTTTAGATCGCTCAGTGAGTTGGGTACTTGGCTTTGGAGCCAAAGGCCAAGAGTTCAATTCCCCACTGTGTCTTGTAGGAAAAGAACCACCTATGTGACCTTGGGGGGGTCCCATAGCAGCCCCAGAAGAAGGGAATGATAAACCACCTCTGGGTATTCCAGAGCTTCTGAAAAGGTCTCCATAAGCTGGAATCAGCTTGTTAATATATAATTGTATTGTTTATTTAACAAACCGGAATCATGACTTCCTAGTAATTTCCTCCAAGTTCATACCATGATTACATTTGCAAATTTGCTGACTTTTCCAGCAAATCAGACATTTTTCACATTCATTATAACATTCATTGGAGCAGAATTATTCCAACATAAAATTGATATATATAAAATTATTCTAAACATTGGTAATTTTATATAGAAATTTTAAGTCAATTCACTACTAATTTGAGGCATCAGTGTGGATTTGTAAAAAATTATATGGTGAATTTACACTTTGTAAAAATTGTGGGAGTCCAGATCTGGTCCTGTTTAAGAATTCTGTGCCATGCATAGTTTACAGAAGATGTGGAATGTAGAGGCAAATGATGGGCTGAAATTCCTTCGTGCTAACTACATGGATATAAGTGGTTGTCAAGTCATCAGCCTGTAAAGCTATTCTTTAATATATCAGGATTGGGACTACCAGCAGCATCTTCAAGTGTTAAGTCTGTGGGTATTAAAGGCTTTCTTCCCTCCATCTCTAGGTCAGAAGGGATCCTTGGAAGCTTGTGAACCTAAATGTGTTGTGGGCGAATAGGAAACTTTAAATTACAGAAGAACAGTGGGGGCTCAGTACATCATTGCCATTGATGCCTGTGTAGTTACATCAACAGGATTCTAGACAATATTTCTTATTAAACTGGAAGGCCACATATTAAGCCACAGATTTAGCATGGAATATTGTATTCCATAATTACATAGAACTGTCACTAGGAGCTTTGCCTCCGAGACAGGCAAAATGTCTATTTTGTCGAGCATAGAGTTAAACTAATTAATGTTCATGATGAAGAATCAAAAAATTGTTTTGTTTGTAGTATTCACTAGCATGATTTTACGTAAAATTCACTGACCTTAGACAAATAGCTTAAAACAAAACTCTATTCAAGCTTATTTATACTGAGAAATATACATATACTACAATTTTTAAAAAAACAGCTGCCTGTATTTTGACTGTCATGGAGTTGTAATTAAGAAACATGTTACGTGCCTTTTAATTGTTTGAATGTATATTCCAGAAAATTTAAATCTCTGTAATCTTAACAGTGGGTTGTGTTCATCAGTGTTATTCATGTAGGGCACACCCATGTTCCACCCTTCTGCAAAGATCAGAGGCACTACTTTGCATCTAATTGCACACGGTTTTGCAAAAGCTGCTATTCAAGCTCTTTCACAAATGGTTTTACAATTTATTGCAACTTAATACCTGATGTTGCTTGTACTAATTGTCCCACTAGCACTTCTGCAGTTATTAAAGAAGCATAGAGCTGCTAGCGTACGACCAGTAATGTTATGTCAGATCCAAGTCAGTATGTGTTTCCAGAATAAGAAAAAAAAAAAGACAGGCTGCACTATGATTCTAAAATTTGAAGGAGGGATTTAAAAAAAGTTCCTCCGTAAGAAAGGGATAAATGAGACAAGAAAATATGCAGCATATTTTTGTTTACATTTTCCAAATACCAGTACTTTGCACTGTATTACAAGCCTATTTAAAAACTTCCTCCAACATAATCCACAAAGATTTGAAAAACCCCATTTAAAATCAGTGGGCTCAACATTAATTCTGGCTAAATCCCATTCCATACAATTTGTGAGACCTAGGTGGAACTCTTATTTTGTTTTTCATAGTGTTGCTGGTTTGGGAGCTACTTTTCAGCAAAAGTCCCACAGCTCCATGTAAATATTTGCTGAACATGAAAATGAGGGGAGGATAGGAATATGATTTTATAAGAGGTTATAGAACCTGTCAAAGTATCCTTAGAGCACAATAACCATTAGTAAGACATAATCAAATATACCTTGTATGTTACCAGATAATTTCATGTTTATACTCATTTATAATCCACATCAGTTGATTTTCCACATAGTAGTAACTGCCTCAAAAGATGTAATGAATCATCATCATTGTTGTTCTTGAAACATAAGCTGAAAAGTTTGTAAAATGATATATTTTTCTGATGGTGGAGTTAGTTACACTCCTTATTAACATCACCATTCCTAATTGCCAGGTTTTGTATCTGATCCTGAACAGCAGAACTTATGAGTGTTATTTTGGAACCAATATCTGTGGTAGCTTGAGCATTTAATACATCTAGTATTAGCCTATATTCACATATGAACATCAGTAAGAATAAACAAAAATAAATAAAATAAATTAATGTTTCAAAGCAGTTTTCCTTCATTCTGTCCTTCTAATCATGTTGTGGTATGAGCTTTCCTTTAAAAGCAATCATTATTCTTATTTGTTAGTTTTGGGAATGTGTTTGTATGTTTACCTGTCATGTCTCCCTTGCAGGTTCATGTCAGGGCCGGTCTCTTCCATGGAACTGAGCTGCTTTGTAAGCCTATCGTAAGCTCAGAAATATCTGGAAGAAATGACCATGTTTGGAATGAATCCTTGGAATTTGATATCAATGTCTGCGATTTGCCAAGAATGGCTAGGCTGTGCTTTGTGGTTTATGCTGTGATGGATAAAATGAAAAATAAGAAGTCAGCCAAGACACTTAATACAGCCAAATACCAGACCATTAGGAAAGCTGGGAAAGTGGTAAGGAATTCCTTTAAATTTTCTCTTCACACTCCTGTTTGTTGTACCAGGAAGTTGTAGTATATGTTTGTGTACTTCCATACCATTTCCATACCCTTTTTTGAAAAAAGTTCATGATTCCAAGCTGAAAGTCTTAATTATATAAAGTCATCTCACTGAGGTAGAGTAAATAAGGTGATATCCTAAGACTCAGGAGATCTGGATTTGAATCCCCACATAGCTGTGGAAGCTCACTGGGGATGTGGAACTAGTAAAGCCTGTCCCCTTACCTTGAAAGCCTATAAGTCACTTCTAACTTGATGACACATAACAGCAACTACTAGATGAAGATGATAATAATGTGCTTCAAGCTACCTTTTGAGTTAATAGGTACGATCATTTTCTCAGCCACCAGATTGCACTATTATGATAATTAAAATCAGTGGGTCAGGAATTTGTGAGAGCTTGTAGGCTGATGCAGGGAAAAGACGTGGATGTGGAGGTAGGCAGGAAAACCATACATGCACACTTTGCAAAGAAAGAAAGAAAGAAAGAAAGAAAGAAAGAAAGAAAGAAAGAAAGAAAGAAAGAAAGAAAGAAACCAACCCGTAACGCATGACACATGCAGGACCAAGGATCTGTGTATATCAACTTCTCTCATGTGGCCTACATATATTGGGAGCAGAGAGCAGTGTAAAGGCATTAACCCACAGTTGCCAGGACTGATGATTCTAGATTTTGCTCATCCTGTTTAGTTCTTGGAATTGAATTTATTACATGCCATACCCAGCAAACAGATCTGCTAAGGCCACAAGAGCATTTGCTGGTATTCCACAGGGAACATGCAAGTCATAATGCAGGTGACGGCTTTCGGCATTTTGCGCTGTGTCATATGGACTAAAATATTTTCATAAATATTTGGAAGACAAAAACAATGCTTCTGCTTTTATGCATTTTTATCAGGCATGTTGACAAGAGAATAGTGTGTACTATCTGATTGACATTATTCCGCTTCAGGAACCATCCAAGTTAGTTATCTCTTATTATAACAAGCAAAAGCTACTTCGTATCTATTTTAGTTACTGTTTATGTTGTATCCCGCCACCACCAGCAGCATTCTGCAGGGGGATTCTCTCCTATCCCCTAGTATCTTTATCCTCAGAACGATCCTGTGAGGTAGGACAAGCTGAGAGTGTATGACTATTCCAGGGCTGCTCATTGAAGACTGTGGGAGGGATTTGGACCTTGTTCTTCACTATCCTGAGTCAATACCCACTATAGTACATGGGCATTCCACCCCATGGCAGCTTTTAAGATTTTTTTTCCAAATTTGCCTTTTATTAGCAACACTTTACGTTATTTACCAACTTATTTGAATAGATTTGGAAATTTTCTTCAAACTTTGTGGTCTTTCATTGCAGCACTATCCTGTAGCATGGGTCAATACTATGGTGTTTGATTTCAAAGGGCAGTTTAAGACTGGAGACTTCATATTGCACGGCTGGTCATCCTTTCCTGGTAAGGATTCACTTGTGATTTCAAAGCTGTGTATATCCCTTGCCATGAAGTACCACCACACAGCTTACATTCATTTGTGAACGGCTAGTTGCGTCATCAATCTTGTCAATGTGTGTGCGCGTGCTTCATATCTGGTATAGCCATACTGAAAGTAGACTACAATGTTGATAAACACTGTAAGCAAAGAGACGTTTGAAAAGTTACTTATTGCAGTAGTGCAAATAGTTGGGAGTTGCAGTGAAAACAAAGAGAAACATTTTCAGGCTCTGTTAATAAATATGTCTTAGATGGAAACAGTCTGCATGCAATCTTGACCAAAGCCTTATAAGTAAACAATCAAAATAGCACAAAAATTAATATGCCTTACCCAAAGTTGAGTGTTGTCTCTGCCCCAAACCCTATGCAAGACCTCACCCTTTGTAATTGTAGTCAGTCAGGACACTTCTTGGCGTTCTCCAGAAATGCTCTTCTATATTCAGTGAAGGCTATTCAGTGTTAGAGTACAATCCTTCATTTTTGGATTATTATAGACTACAGTCTGTTCTTCATTGCTAATGATAAAAATATGTAAATTATGTTTCTACAGTAAGTGCTGAGAATATCGACAGCAGGGATAATCAGCTCATGCGTAACCCCCTATAAGCAAATGGTGCCTCGACTTACGAACGCCCCTACCTACAAACATTTCGGCTTACGAGCAGCTCCGCTTGCAAAATTTTGCTTCGACTTGCAAGTGGAGCTTCGACCTAAGAACAGAAAAAGGCAGAGGAAATTCAAACCGTTGGTGGCAAAGAGGCTGCTGCTTTGTAGCTCTTTCTCCCCAACGGTTAGAGCAGGCAGTCAGGAAACATTTTTACTCCTGTAGGGCAAGAGGAGGAGGGAGAGGAGAAGAAGGATCGTTGCCGGGCGCAAGAAGACGTTGTGCTTCCTGCCCATCCCTAGCATGGGACTACTCATGAGTAAGGCCCACCAAAGGCACGGGTCTACTTGTGAATAAGGGCCCCGAAAGGCCCTGGGCTGGGCTGGGGCACACGGGTTGGAGGGGGCTCCTCCATGGTGCAGTGGTGGAGGAGGAAGGAGAAGCGGGACGGCTGCAATTCGCTGCCAGGTGTGGGAAGCCGGTGCACTCTCTGCCCATCCCTGATGTCAGTCTACTCATGAGTAAGGGCCCCCATTGCAACCTCGGCTGCCCTACATGCCAGCCGGGGCCTGTCTCATCCCTGATGTCGGTCTACTCATGAATAAGGGCCCCCATTGCAACCTTGGCTGCCCTACATGCCAGCCGGGGCCTGTCGCCAGCTCCCAGCCACCGGGGAGTGAGTGGCATCGGAGGAGGCTTCAGTCTGCCTGGTAAGGTGCTACTTTTTGCTTTTTAGAAACTTCTCAGTGGGTTTTGCAGTGTGGGTTTTGGCTGAGGGTGGGTTATGTTTCTGTGCTGTGTTTCTTGTCTTTGGTGGTTTGTTTGTTTATTTGTTTGGCAGCCTTCGGGGCTTGCTCTGCTTTTTTTTTTAAGCCCCAGCACCTTCCGAGAGCGGGTTATGTTTCTGTGCTGTGTTGCTTGTCTTTGATGGTTTGTTTGGTTTTTTGGCAGCCTTTGGGGCTTGCTCTGCTTTAATTTTTTAATTATTTTATTGTAATTGTTTTTTTTTTTTAAATGCTGGAACAGATTAATCCTGTTCCCATGCATTTCAATGAGAAATGGTGCTTCGATGAAAATTTCAAGATACAGCCACCGTTCCAGTACAGATGAATTTCGTAAGTCGAGGCACCACTGTATAAGCAAAAGCACAGGTTTAGCTTGTGCTTAGGCATATGCTGGCCAGAACCCTAGTAATGTTGAAATAAATTGTGCATAACTGGAAAGGGATGTATACATGCACAACCAGTCGATGCAACTGGGATTAGAGCAAAGCATGTGATGCTCCAGACAGGGTTAGTGAGTGCAGTCCTCCTCCCTCGTGTTTACTATATATTTGTAGCAATGTGTGAAGATGACTTTGGTAGCTAGCAAGTCTTTAAGTAACATCACACTACAGGAAGCTGCATCATAGAGAAACATTTTGTAAGATCCCTCATGGCACTTGCTTAGATGGCTTTGGAAACTGAACAGAAATCTAAAAAGTGTGTTTGGTCATAAAATAAGAATGGCTTAAAATTCATGTCACATGAGTTCTGAGTTCTATGTCTTTTAGGTTCTGTTCCTTTTAAAACTAATATTTGCTTCACATCTTTGCTTCCTGATAAATCAGTTTATTGTCAAAGCAAAATACAAATGCCACCTCTGTTTCACACAGGTCTGAAGTTTTCTCAGTGCGGGGAAAGTGTAACCAATTCTGAACCCCATAGTTTTTACTGACTCATCTGATTTGGTTTTTGGGAAAGCAATATCTGTTCAACTAAACAAAGGACCAGCCTTGGCTAACTACATGAAATGACTAGGATTGGAATGAACCTATAGTAGCCATTCAACCATCATTGAGAGATGACCATCTGAACTATTTTTTATTAATTCACTGGACCTAAAATAGTTGGTACTAGACTGAATGTTTTCCCTTTTTGGCAACTTTGAACTCAGTTGAATTCTGTTACATATAAATAAAATACTGGAATCTGTTTTCTCCATGACATAACTATTGGGGTTGCATAACTATTGGTGCCTCGCATAACGATGTTAATTGGTTCCATTAAAAACATCATTATGTGAAAACATCGTTAAGCGAAACACCATTTCCCATAGGAATGCATTGAAAACCGGTTAATCCATTCCAATAGGAGCCTATTCAATACATTTCAATGGTGAAAAAAAATCACCAAAAATTCAAAAAGACTCAGAACGAAGCCAAATTACTTTAACGAAGGTTTTATTAAGTGCACTAACGATTCCAAGCATTTTAAACATTTTTAAACATTTCTGAATATTTTAAAATAGCGAAAACAGCGCTGTCAAAAAAAAATGTTAAGCGAAACAGGGGACCTAAAACTGTTATCGTTAAGTGAAGCAAGGTCCCAAACATCGTTATGTGAAAATCCCCCATAGGAAACATCGTTAGGTGAGGCGGCAAAATTTCCAGAAAAGGCCATCGTTATGCCAATTCATCGTTGAGCGAGGTACTCGTTAAGCAATGCACCACTGTACTTGCTTCATCTCTTTGGAAGGGAAAAAATTAGGCCCAGGAATAAAATCCCCACTGTTACTGTGAATCTTTACCATAAACTGCAGCTCAGAATTATTAATGTAGTACTAAGCAGTATGAGACTGTCTAAAAGGATTTTCCTGTGTGTATCCTCTACAAGTAGTTTTATAGAATGAATTTTTATGTTAAAATGTTCAAAGAAAATGGAAATTGGCCAAACCTGCTTATTTGGCATACTTTCAAGTGATTCTTTGATCTACCGCATTTTTCGCACCATAAGACACACTTTTTCAATTGGCCAACTTATTTGGCATACTTGCAAGTGATTCTTTGATCTAACTTGTTGAGCTAAAATTACATAGAAACTAAAGAGGAAATTCTTATGTTTCTGAGGCAGATGACCATTGGCATTTCTTTCAGCCTAAAAGAAAATTGATTCTATATAACACATATTTGCAATGATATTTAATCCTTCTGGAAGCATTCCAGTTCAAAGGGACTACTGGGGATTCTCAGTGTGGTGTAGTGGATAGAGTGACAGACTAGGACCCTGGTGAACAGGGTTTGAATCCTTGCTCAGCTGTGGAACCTGGTAAAACCACTGCTTAAATGTGAGCAGGGTTTGAATCCTTGCTCAGCCGTGGAACCTGGTAAAACCACTGCTTAAATGTATTACTTATCTCAACCTATCAGAGTTGCTGTAAATTAGTTCTGACTTGACAGCACAGAACTCTCACACACCTGTGTTTATAATATACATATAGCAGGGGAAGCATAGCAAAATGCTTCTTAAATTTTATTTATATGAGCCAGCAATTCATCGTTCTTAAATATAAACATGAAATGTGTACTTTGATTACCTAGATGAACTTGAAGAAATGTTGAATCCCATGGGAACCGTACAAACTAATCCATACACTGAAAACGCAACGTCTTTGCAGATCAAATTTCAAGAATATTCCAAATTTCCTGTATATTACCCTCCCTTTGATAAGGTGAGATAAGCAAGAGTACTTGCATCTGCTTTTTCCTATGACTTTCCAAATCTATACAGTTTATTTACAAAGTACTTCTTTTCTTGTAACACTTAGAATATGTGATTTGCATAGCCTAAACTATAGTGTGATGCATAGATATTTTATGCTGCACATGTCAAAAGAAGATGGAAAAATCACAGATAATTGTGTTTGTTTTCTAGTCTTTGTCAAACTGTAGAGGTGATACAGTGAGATGAGACATTGCTTTTAAATTTCTCTGTCTGATGCTTCAATATTAATTATCATTTTGGCAGATACTTGAAAAGGCAGCTGAGATTGCAAGAAACAGTGATAGCAGTGGTATGGCAGTAAGTATCAAAGGTGAAACAATTATCTTTCCAATTTAACACCTTGTTATTTGTGCAGCATTAATTGCTTGTGTTCAGAAACCATCTGTTTTAAGTGTGATAGAATTCTTCTTTAAAATTGTATTTCAATTCAGAGGTGTTTTTAAAAAATAACTATCTAAAAATGACCTAACTATCTTGAAAGATGGCAAGTGAAAAGTAATTTCACTGTTTCAAAACAAGTCTACAACTATTGATCATATTAACATGGACAATTTAGCTGTATTGGGTATCAAAGCTTAGGAATTATTGCTTGAGAAATGTTTGATCATGAGCCATTTGGCATTATGTACAAATGTTTCTATACCAGTGTATAAAATAATCAGAATATGTTGTAACAATGGGGTTATGGTCTGAATACTAGTTCTTGGTTAATGTAACTTTTATGGAGGCATTGAATTTTACATGCAAAAAGCGCCTTTACAACAAAAATATTGCCTGTCATGAAATGTAAAGCTTCCTTTGGGCCTTACTGTAACACATCATGTTTATGTGTTAAAACTATTTTAAACTGAACGTACATACTAGACAATGGTTACATTCTAACAGGACTAAATTTGTTTGTTTGTCCCAGCTAGATTAAATCAGTTGAATCAGTAGGATTTATTTAAGTATTGCTAAGACCAGTTTATTTAGAAAGTCTATTCCACTTGGAAGAAACTATTGAATTTAATTAATCATGCTAAACCAGTGGTTTCCAACCTTGGGTCCCCAGATGTACATGGACTACAACTCCCAGAAATCCTGGCCAGACAAGCTAGTGGTGAAGGCTTCTGGGAGTTCTGTAGTCCAAGAACATCTAGAAACCCAAGGTTGGGAACCACTGTGCCATCGTTTACATGGTTTAGTTCTGGCATATATAATCTTTTAATCTGTGTGGAGGTATAAAGAGGAGATGGAGCCCCTGAGTCCAGGAAGAGGGTAGACTTATTCACATATTGTCCAGCTATTCTTAGTTCCTTCTAAAAGCTGAGCTTATTTTTCACTACACTCTGAAAATATGGGAAAAGAATCACTCTGCTTCGAAACCAATTCAACAAGGGTGAGCAGATTGTATCCCTCCAGAATCTAGATGTTCTTAGACTGGAACGCCTGTGGACCCTAGGCAGCAGAAGCGTATGGTAGGGAATGGTGGCAGTTGCACTCAAATAACATGTGGAAAGCCACAGATATCCTATCTCCATATTCAATCATGTTTTTGTGTGATGTCCAGATGTAGCCAGTGCTGTATGAGAGAGAGGTTTGTTTTTTGAGCTTTTTCTGTTTTCTTGTACATTTGAATATTTATTAATTACAGTGATAATTTTTAATGCTGTAATATTTAATTTGTCTTTTTAGCTACCTAGAGGAATATTTTTGTGAGAAGTTGGAAAATGATTAATACATGAATGACAAATCTTGCTGATAAATAAAACTCAGCGTATGCATCACCTGTTAAATGGTTTTTGTTTTTAAGTAGTACCTTTAAATGGCTCCTTAGTACAGTAATTAAAATTCTGAAAGGTGCTCTCCTGCCTGCAGTATTTTATGCATTAGCTTTTAAATGGTCCAGACGTTAAATTTCACCAGTTGGACTGTATAAGTCTACAGTCCAAGCAAATGCATGTTTCCATCATGTTTTGGCGAAAGTATTTCGCAGATTAAGCAGACAAATAACAACATTGCCCCCTAGTGGCATTTAGGGCAAAATATGCATATTTTTGAAGTTTAGTACTGAAAGTACTATGTACAGAACTAATATGTAGAGAACTATTAAAATCTACACGGTTTTTTAGCCACTTGAAATATGCAGCAAGGAATTCGTCCCAGTTTAGTCTCATGGCATTCAGAGCAAGAGGACAGGAAAAATGTCTCAACAATTTTCATGTGGTAATCTTTGACTTTCTACCAACCTATGTCGTCTTAGGGCCGTGGTGGCAAAAAATTCCACATTGAGCTCAAGGAAATCATGGAAAGGGACCCTTTGTGTCAACTGTGTGAAAACGAAATGGATCTCATTTGGACTTTGCGATATGACTGCCGTGAAAATTTTCCACAATCTTTGCCGAAACTGTTGCTCTCTGTGAAATGGAATAAACTTGAAGATGTTGCTCAGGTGAGGGAAACAGTCAGAATTGTGTGGTAATCGTATTACCAGGAAGTACCAGTGAGTATTTGCATTTACAGAGGAATGTGTGAGGTTCCTGATTATTTTCTATTCATTAGCAAGTTATTATTCCTGAATAATCTGATTTATAAAAAGCTGAAAGTATTGTTATTGTTTTTTAATTGTTTGTCTATGATTCAAAAGTAGTGGCTGCTGTGTTAAAATGCAGTGGGCTTGTTTGATTTACATTTTAGGCACTGTGCCTAAAGCACTGTCTGTCTTCTTTTTCAGCAGCGTTTGCACTCTTTTACAAGGGAGTACAGTAGAATTGGGAGGAAAGCAAACTCGTCCTTCCAGGAGGCTGCTTCCTCTCCCTTATCCTGTCCTAACTACACGTGGCAGGATGTGGGCAATGAGGCCTAATCTGAATGCACATCCCAGGGGAAGTAATAGGTTTTAGATCAGGGAGACTGAACTCTTAGGATCCAGGGACCCATGAGAGACACTATACAGGTCCTTGACTCAGAAAACAAACAGGAAAAACAAACATAGAATTAGAGAGCAGTCTACCTGTGTTTTCCTTATCTATCTGAACTATTTATGTTCGACATACATACTGCCTCCCATACACACATAAACATGTTTAAAAGATGTGAGGAGAAGTAATTTGGTTTTACTTTAAAAGGAGAATTGCCATCCCTGCAGGCTTCCAGCATTGGCAACTCTCCATTTTGATTTCTTTTATCAGGGAGGCAGAGGTAGGGTCAGCTGTTGAAAGGCTTAGGGGAAGCATATGGTTCTCACCTGTGGCTTAGATAGGTGGCATATGCAACTAGATATGTACCCAAAGATGGGTGCAATTCTTCCAAATTCAATATGCTTTGTATCTTCACCCACACACATGGGCATGTTGCCAGTTACTAGCTATGGAATCAAGACCAGTTTGTTCTGTGTCTGGGGTTCCATGCCTTTTCAAACTTTTTTTTTAAGATGCTTTTTCAGGTTTTTGCAAAAAGGATAAGTGAAGGAAGAGAAATGGCTTCAGAGGTACAAATATGGGGGAAATAAAGAGAAAAACCAGGAAGATCATGTGTTAAATTTTCTTATTGCTCAATTGTTGGTGACAATTGAAAGCTCTAAACCTTTGTCACAGTGCTAAAACATTTTCCCATGCATATCAAGATCCTATCCAGACAAAGGAAATGTTACTTTTTAAGTTTATAGCTCCATTGAATAACCCAGCCAGCATGGCCAATACAGGGAAATTGTTATTCCCTATTTTTAATCCTATATGCTTACTTATGCCGAAGAGCGGATACACATACAGTGGTGCCTCACACAACAATGTTAATTGGTTCCAAAAAAATCAACGTTGTGTGAAAAATCGTTCTGTGAAACACCATTTCGCATTGAAAACCGGTTAATCCGCTCCAATTGGAACGGATTGCCATCGTTCAGTGAAAATCCCCATAGGAAACATCGTTGAGTGAAACAATGTTTCCTATATTGGAATGTATTGAAGCCGACTCAATACATTTCAATGCCTTTGCGAAGTCCTTTTTCGCTCCTGTAAAAGTGTCTTACAATGTTTGGATGCTGTTTTAAATGATTGCAATGGTTAGTCCACCTCCTGAAACCTATGCAAACTGATTTTGGTGTTGTTCTGACACTTCGTTAATTTATGATGATTTTTTGAATTTTCTCCATTGGAAACCATTGGATGGTCTGTCTAATGGTTTCCAATGGAAAAAACAAAAAATCATCATAAATTAACGAAGTGTCAGAACAACACCAAAATCAGTTTGCATAGGTTTCAGGAGGTGGACTAACCATTGCAATCATTTAAAACAGCGTCCAAACATTGTAAGACACTTTTACAGGAGCGAAAAGGGAGATCGTTGTGTGAAAATCCCCCATAGGAAACATCGCTGTGTGAGGCAGCAAATTTAACAGAAAAAGGCATCGTTGTGTGAATTCATCGTTGTGTGAGGCACTCGTTGTGCGAGGCACCACTGTATATGGTGGTGACCTTGTTGGAATATGAAATCCCACTTCTCCTTGAGAACGTTTCCCCATGTAAAATACCCATGGAAAAAGTATGGAAAAGTAAATCATATTATCAATTGGCTGAAAGATTGACCTGCAAACACCAGGATTTCTATATTATTGGTGCTTTCTTTAGTTCTGTGAGATACTTTGTGTATTTGCAAATGCAGATGTGAGGCAGACTTGAAGTGTAGCGAAACCCAGTGGGAGAACTGGATGCTTGCTGTGTTCTCTTCCCTTTGATAAATACTAGCTGGCAAGATCAATGGTTCCCATCAACAATCTGAGGCTTTTTATTTCGGACCCGTTGCAAAAGCGTACTTTCATGGGACTTGATGCTTTTTTTGGCAGCCTTTGTTGTCTAGCAGAATCTCAGAACTGATGGTCTGATACCACTATAGGTGTGTGCAATCACTCTTCAAGCAAATATCACCACAGGTGAATGACAGGAGTAGGAAAGTCCTCTAAAAAGTCCTTTACCTTTTTTAAAAAAATTATTTATTTATTAATTGTGCTAAATAATTATCCAGAACCCTGTTTGCACTCGCATAAGCATACCACCACTACTATCACGCGAGGTCACCTTCAGAAACATAGCCTCATATCGGCTTTAAAATCAGATATGCAAACAGTTATGCGCTTGGCCATGCAACGGGACTGGCAAAAGGGGAAAATCCACTGCACAGTCTCCTTTAATGCATGCATATATATATTTTTTCCTCCAGTGAGATTTTGACCACTTTATACCCAAAGGGCATATTAATCTGCAATTAATTTTTGCAGAGTTGATCCAATGTTCCTTTGTTATTGATTTACAGAATGCTAGCAAATAAAAAGGCCCTTGCATGTTACAGCTCAGATTTATAATTCAGTTATTTGTCTTTTCCATGGACTTCAGATTGCTCAGAATTTATTCTCTTAGATCGTTCTGAAGAGTTAAGTCTTTTATTGTTTTGATTTAAGAAAGGAAAGCTTTCTGCCCAGATGTGACAAGTCCCCTTGTTGGCCTCTGACCATCAGCCAGTACCCACCTGGGATGTTGATCTAGCTGGTCAGCATTTCCCTCCTAATTCAGGCTCAGAGGAGGAATGTAAACAAGCATTGGCAGTATTTTTGGAATCTTCTTGGCTCCTTCTCAGGTCATTGAGCTCTTGTTTCCTGTAGGGGTCATATCACTTAACATTTTCTACTTGAATAACTTCTGCCTCTAATTTTAAGATTTTCTAACTGGGCGTAGTCCTAGTGGCAACCAGACAATATTTTATATCTAGCACACATCTGGATGCTTAGCTAAAATTTTCATTCTCAATTATCTGATGCAGCATAGACAAAGTTGTAAATATGAGATCAAATGTCCAAACATTCCTTCAAGATCAGAATGCAGCTGTTTCTTTCCAGTGTCCCAGACTTAGGGTGGTAGATGCATATGTTACCTCAGCAATGTGCCCTTATTGAAGCAGTGGTAATTATTTGTGCTTTGGTCTCTGTGCCAAGGGTTCTCTCAGGCAGCACTTTGTGATAGATCAAAGTGTAAAAGATCATGTCATGTGTTCTCTTGGACCACACACGGGCCACTCATGTTTTTGTGGGCCATCCCCAGTGTCCCACCACCACTGAAATACAACAGCACACCAATGACAAGAGAAAGAGAGACAGAATGCACGTATTCATTCTACTATAAACGTGGCAAAGAGACAAGCCCACACTCCATGGTAATGAACAGTACCCCTGAACTCTCTCTCTCAGCATCCCCTCCCATCAGTTTTTAAAGTTTTAATAAATCAGTGAGGATCAGCAAATAAGTTTCCCTGAGAGGGCAGGCTTGTTTTGGCAATGCCCCAAGCAAGAAGTGACTGCATTAAAAAAAATATTATTACATTTTTCAAGTACAAAACAAGCAAAAATGACAGAGAAGCATCTTGAAAAATACAAACACAAAAGGACAACACGAACAAACATAAAACTGAAATCTAATTTTGACAGAAGATTCAATATTTAACATGTTTTTCAACTTATCCTCCAGTTATAAATATAAGAGGAATTCATGAAATGAGATTTTCTTTATCCTTCTCTGTATTGCTGTTTGCCCTTAATTCATTTTCCGTAATCTGAGGAAGAACTTTGATAAACGCTGAGTACCTTTTTCATTCATATGTAAAAGAAAACCATGCCACGTTTCACAGAATGCTGATATTTTGGGTTTGCCTTTAACAACTCCAAAATGATATCACTTCTAGCATGGTAGTTTGCTACAGTTCTGAACACAAAAGCTTAATGTATGCTACAGTTTTCACACATTTTGCTATTATTCTATGGGTCACTCCCAGTTTTGATGTCCTGTTAGCCTGAAACAAGCCCCAGGTAATGAAAACTTTGGGGGGAAACACCCTCACCCTGAAGAGCCTTTTAAAATTCACTTTTTAATTGTGGAGTTCTGAGGAATCAACATGTGGCCCATAGGCTGCATTTTAGCTATCCTGCATTAAACAGATCAGGAGGAGCATTTGGGCAGCAGAGTGTTGTTACACACACTCTAGCACTGTTTTTCATATTGCTGTTACGTGCCATAAAATGACATATGATTTAACAGCAAGCTAAATGCCTTGAAAACTGTAAGCCATGTCAGACTATTTAAGGAGCAGTTGTATGATCTAACTTCTCTCCAGTGAATTTCCGTGGCCAGGCAGGGATCTGAATCCAGGTTTTCCTGAGTCTAGTCTGCCATTCTATCCGCTGTACCATACAGGCTCATTGCCTCCATAAATCTGAAATATTTGCAGTAGTTTGCTAGATCAGGGATGAGTAAAGTATTGTATGGTCCTGAGCCACAAACCGCTCACAAAATGCTAAATATGACCACCTAGTAACCCACAATATTTTTCCCCAATATGTTTCCTTATGCCCTCTAGGTGGTAATGAGGGAAATTTTGCCATATTTTTGCCCCTGTCCCTCAAAATGTTTTTGATATTGTTGGTTCCCCCCCCCCTCAAATTTGGCTTCTACATTGTGTAAGGGAATCTCTTCAGCTGAAACATGTTAGCTGAAGTCCTGTGGTACAGCTTCATATATGTGTAACTAGAAGTTATGCAAGTAATTTCCATAAACATACCTAATCATATTCACGAAGCACTTCTGCAAGTCTGTTGCACAATAGGCTTGCTAGCAAATTATGTGCTGAAATTGTATAATGTGGACTGCCTGGATGTAACACTCTATACAAATCCAGCAATATAACTTTATGTTATGCCAAATGGAGCAGGATTTCAGCCATTCTGTGCCATAATTAATTTAATCATCTACAGTAGTCTTCAGTCAGTTGAAGCATGCTTCTGGGAATCTGACTTCCTTCCACATTCATTGGAGACTGTTCTTTCTTTCTATTACATGTGCCAATGTTTAGGGTCTGTTTAGGGTCATGATTCTCTGTTGCTACTACAGTAGAGTGCTGAGAACTAGTGTTTTGAACAATGCTATCACATACAAAAATAAAAAATTAAAATGTTGCATTAATTTTATTCATCAAGTTAACCTAAATAAATACAGTAAATTCAATTTTCAGAAAATAAGCTCTGTTTTATTTATTTTATGTATTACAAAAATCAAAATCTTGTAGTTATCACATCTCAATTCAGTATGTGTGCCTGCATTGGGTTAGGGATTTCTTGATTATGTCATTGTTTTGTAATAGTTCTTGACTTACAAGCTGATTGGCCACTTTGCCCATGGCCTTTCCTACTTCACCCACAGCCTCATAGGAGTATAATCATGGCCACTCTGACAGTTGTCCTTTGACTTCCTCAAAATTGACCAACCCAGGTCTTGTCCCGCCCACTTTCAGTTCCACAGAGTCTTGCTGTTTGCTTGTGAAAAACCTGTTGGATGAATAGTTGAATGCAGGGATAAAGTTGCAGACAGAAAGACAGTCATAGTGCCAAAGTCAGAATACACTCCCAAAAATAATTGCAAGGAGTTCAGAAATAATAAAATACGAGTTGGAACATATTTTTTTCCTCATGTGGAATGAGCGTGTTTTCATTCTGTTTTTATGCAAATAGCAATCATGCATACAAGTAAACTGAATGCTGGTTCATTCATCATCTTTGTTCCTCACCCTTTAGCAGGTTGATGGTCTTTGTATAAATTTCTTTCTATACTTGTATTCTTTGAGCATTCATCTTATTTCTTGTATGTTTAAAAAACACAGTCCTATGGCAAATTTGATTCAAGAATACCAGGGTAGTGGGTTCGTGGTTACAGTCTTTTGCAGTTAATGATCTGCATTCTCTGCTTTGTTTCACATGATTTCCAGACTTTTGCCCTGCTAAAAAATCTTAGGTGCACCCTTTCTTTTGATATTAAATTCTCAAGATATGTCAGGAGGCATGCCAGGCTTCAGATCCCAATGTCCTTAGAAGTGAAGCCATTGTGAATTGCCCTGAAATGGCTAAACTAGATCACCATAAAAGGCTTGTCTCATTTCCCTCAAAATGGCAATGGTTTGTTGTTCATGAGCTTCCCATGTAAAACTGTTGTCCATTGTTAATTTAATTTGACAGTACTTTCTAAATCCATATCCTTGTTACACTACTCTAAAATTAAGCCAAAGAAATAATACCTTTATTAGGCCAATCAATAAGGCTAAACAGAACCAAAAAAAATCTGTGCACCCTTTCATTATCACAGATCTCTTCCTTTTGCAATATGTTGCAAAAGAAAAAAGTAAAAGAATGTGTGGAGGGAGTAAAAGGAAGGTGAGGAATTGATCTTACGACCATGTAGTCCACATGGTGCCTTGTCTTGTAGACACGTCAGAGAGCTGTATACAGTTAACAATCTGTCCATGAAACATCACCTCTTCCCTCCAAAAGGATCCAAGTAATCAAGAGCACTTTCTCTGATGTCTGATCTAGGTAGCCTTGTCATAAACACCTCTCACTACTTCACCTTTTTTTAAATCTAGTCTTTCTCTTACATTCTTCATCCAGCCAGTACTTCCATCATGCGCTGCTGTGTGTTTGCTCTGTTCTGCCCTCCAGTGGGTTGTTATGTTGCTGCAACTGAATTATAGACAATATTCTTAGCTTACTGTCTTTTAATTAGTAAAAGCAAATGTTGGCATCATCCTCACAACCTGGAAATAGAAATGCTAGAGGAGAATACATCCTTTTGTGGCATGTTACTCATATTTAATTTCAACTGTTTTGGAGGAAGGGAAATGGGGTACTAGATGATGGTTTCCCCCTAGAGCTGCTTGTGATTTGTGTGCCAATTTATGTTGAAAATATTAAAGTGTGCACGTGCATATTCCCAAGTGCATATATATCAGTCATTGAGTTATGTGTGTTTCCAAAACAGCTTCAGGCTCTTCTTCAGATATGGTCCAAACTGCCTCCCAGAGAAGCATTAGAGTTACTGGATTTCAATTATCCTGATCAATATGTAAGAGAATATGCAGTGAGCTGCTTAAGGCAAATGAGGTGAGTCTTGTGGAAACTTTATTGCAGTAATTTACTCCAAAGTTAATATGCTATAGAAACAAGAAAATAAAACGTTTTACCCCTGACTGAAATAAATTCTCCAAATCAGAAGCTAAATGCTTCTCTGCTGTCCAGCTGTGCACCAGGGCTGTGATCCCAGTTTACTGGTGGTATCAATGGGATGAGTGTGGGTGGTCTTCTTTTGCTAATAAGTCTCTAATCCAGATATGAAAAGTCTTCCTTTGCTCTCTAGCACAAACACTGACGTTTTGGGAAGATGAAGAGATGTGCAGTGTAGAGGATATTAAACGAGTGTAGAATATGGTGTGTGCCATTCATATGCCATGTCTCCAATCCCATGCAAACTTACCTGGGAGTAGGTCCCATTGAACACAAGGGGGCTTACTTCTCATTGAGTAAACATATATAAGATTGCATTATGTACATAAAACTTGCAGTGAGTTCTGTGTGCTTCCTGTTATTGTTTCTACATATATTTATGAGTGTAGTGCCATTTTTTTCCTTGTGCTCTAGGAAAAATTTGGCTGTCATCACTAAAACTCCATATGCCCTCGACTTTTCAAGAGTTCTACATGTGATTAATAGCATTTTCTATTCTCAAGGCTAGATTGTTAACAAAATATTTTGACTTTCTCAAAATGAAAGCAAGATAGCGTTGTTCTCGTAGGTCCAGTCTACTTTCATAATAGTTAACTGGTACTTCTGGTATTGTTGCTTTTGTACGTCTGTGAATCTAGAGATATTTTCAAATAACTTGGGAGTTTCAGCAGCTGTAGCGAAGCTTTTTGTTTGACATACTTGCTCAGGACAGTCATTTTTTTTTATTAGTGTGCCATGTGATATTTTTCATAGATATTTTCCTGAGCTGCATAGAACATAAAAATCTCTGTAACTTAAAAAAAAATAATTACGTGGCATCATTTGTTTGATCACATATAATAGCTCTTTATTTTTGCAAAGGAATTAACAAAGAGTATTTTCTGTTTAAAAATTAATGCATTTATAAATTCCATTTGAACAAGGTCAGAAAGAAGTTAGATAGCAGATTTCCTGAAATTTACCTGATAATCTTTAAACCATAAGCATATGGCAAATATTTAATATTTTCTGAGTTCACCAGAAATATATACACAGAATGTCAATGAATACTGTTAGTGTTGTTGAAAGCCTTCTGGTATCTGATAAGGTGTCCCATTCTCTGCTTTTATTCAAATTATTTACTAATTGCCTGCCTTTTGTTGCCTTATAAATCAACTGTTCTACTTTAATTCATTTCATGTTTCAGATTTTCTTCCCTTTCATTCAGTGCATTTCCTAAAATCAAACTGGTTTGCCCTGGTTCTCTTTTATCTTCTTTCAGTGACGAAGAGCTTTCTCAGTATCTACTGCAGCTCGTGCAAGTCCTGAAGTACGAACCTTTTCTCGACTGTGCTCTCTCCAGGTTCCTGCTAGAGAAGGCAATGGCCAACAGAAGGATAGGGCAGATGCTGTTTTGGCATTTAAGGTAAGAGTTGGAAATGTATCTTTAGCCCCCCCCCCCAAAAAAAATACTTTGTTGAACAAAATACCTGCAGGAAAGAACTGATACTCTGAGTTTTGTTCCCATCAAACTCCTTCTGTCTTCACTTCATTATACATTAAATCAGAAAAAAATGAAAATGCAGAAAGTCTTGTTTGAGAATAAATGGACTGGGGTGACCCAGGCTTTCTAACCGGGCCTCTTCCTTTTCTAATTGGCCTCTTTTCTTCCTTAGTCATGAGGTGGACAACACAGGTAGCTTGCTCCATTAAAAGTAATCTTTGCGTTGTGAGGGCTCGACTCTTCCAGGTCCATTGAATAATGTGTTTCTGGAAAAGCTTGGTTCAGCATGGCCAAAGCGGGGGGGATTGTTGGATCAGAAAAATTTTCAAATAATACCTTTTCTAAATTCCTTGGCCCAAACAGTATAGACCAGATATTGAACGATACAATGGGCTAGGGTGTCCCAACATCTGAAACCAATCCTGCTATCATTTCCTTCACCTTCTGATTCTCACAGTTGAAGCTGCAAGAGTCATACCTCTGTCTTCTGGTCAACAGGCATAGATCTCTGTCTCCTTTTTCTGTTAGTCATTGTGTGATTAATTACAGTTGGGTGAAGGAGGAGGCTTTTGTAAAAGCATGGCTTTTGTGGAACTCCCCCCAAGTTGATTTTTTTTTTTTTACATTTTAAATTTATTTATTTTTTCTTGTATTGGCTTCAAGAACAAAGGGTGAATAAACAAAATGACTTTTCTTGCTTTTTCTTTTCCTTTTCTTTTTTATGGGGAGAAAGGATAAAGACTTAGCAATATACATGCCTATGCATTTTGTTACTTTTTAGAGGGTGGATTATTTAAGAGACAGGGTGCTTAACTAGAACACTGGGATCAAAGGGTGTTCTGCTTTGCATTTATTTGTTTATTCACACAGAATGGGTGATATGACTTGTTACTTAAATTCAACAATTAGTAACATCAATATATTCTTTAAATACAGGATAGCCACAAGAGATGGATTCATACATGCAGCGATATTTATCTTTTCTTGCAGATCAGAAGTGCACATACCTGCAATTTCAGTACAGTTTGGTGTAATACTTGAAGCTTACTGCCGTGGAAGCATTGCTCACATGAAAGTACTTTACAAACAGGTATCTCAAATTTTAAATCCTTATATTGAGGTTATTCTTCTTATTGAGTTGCTGTTATATCTGTTTGATGCCCAATTTTTTTCTTAAAAGCATGCTGTTGTCGGACAAATCGCCAGCAAGGGGTTGGTTCTTTCTTTATGATGTGCTCCCATTTTGTGGAAGTCAATGTGTGTCAAATATGGTATGGTTCTGTCTTCATACAGCTGTATTTTTTCATGGCAGTCCAGAAGCATGGAATAACACCAGGCATATGCTACTTGGATGCTGCTTGGAACACATGAATAAAAAACAAAAATCCCAGAGATATGAGAGAAAATGTGTACATATCCCATAGAGTACCTGTGCATGATTGGTGAAACCATACTGAGGACCTCTGTAATTAATTGACAAGGAAGTTTTTGAATAAATGACATAGAAGAAACTTGAGTATGATAGTCACTTAAGACGCCTCTATAACATTTTTTCATTCTCAAAATCCCAAAGTGATTTGCATTAGCTCACATTCAAATAGATAATAAAATTATTTGACTCAAGTGGACAGAGAAAAGACTTAAGTCAACCACACCGCTATTGACAGGAAGTGTACAAACTGCTAGATTGGTTATTAGATCTAACCTCAGAAAAAGTCTATAGAAAAAGAAAAGCCCAGAAAATATTTGTTAAATTGCTGGAGTTCAGTCATCAAATTTTAACCCTCAACCAGAGGGAATTTTTTTTTAAAAAGCTTTCATTGATACCTGTGCTATTTTCTACTTCCATGGGAATCCCAATCTATTGAAGAGTGACAGCAAGGTTAAGGTTAGTTTATGCAACTTGTGCTTCCACCTAATCAGAATATGTCCCTTCTACTTCTTGGACTCATGACCCAACAGAAAGCAGCTAGGGAATTTTTATAACCTTTACCAGCATATAAACGGTCCCCTATGGGCAAACCAAAACAAAGCTATATTGGAACATTTTTTTTCTCTAATCTCATGACAGGTCCATGAAACTCAGAGATACTAGCTGAAATGCTGTTGCTAATCACTAGTAAAGCAAGGTAGATTTAACAGTAGCTTCCACGGTGTAACGTAGAATAAGCAATTTTAGCCCTTCATATGCAGGTCCATAATATTGACTATACTTGTGCTTGATGAGAGTTAAAAGCCAAAAGCGTCTGGAGGGCAACAGTCGCCCAGCTCTGTGAAAATCAATATAGTGCCTGCAGTCAGTCATAGGAATGAGTTCAGTCAATTCTAGATTATACTTTGAGTAGTTCTGATGATATTTGCACTGTAAACTCTTTCAAAAGTATAGTATCTGAAGTGTATTTCAGCAGCAGGCTTTAGGCATGATGACATTTTCTGTGCACTTGGGAGGAAGTCTATGTCAATGCAATCAAAGAAGGGGCAAGAAAATTCCCAACTGTGCAAACACGGAAGAAATTCAAAGTAGAAATACTTCAAAAAGTTCCTGTTTGTCCAGTGCAGGTTGCATTTTGTTCCCTTGTTACTGTTGTTTGCACAGCTCCTGGAATTGTGGAAATGCGGGGAGCTTTTGGTTTTGACAGATGGCTGACCTGACAGGTCTCTCTGGCCTCTATTCCATAATCAGACTCCATACAGCTTCCACAGCATCCTGCCTGGCATGAATTGCCTTTCCATAAGAAAGTCTGAGCCTTTAACCTACTGTAGCACTCTTAGAAGCCTCTGCTTTACTTAACATTTTAGTGCTTCACCAGCTTGCTAAAAGACAAGGGATAAATTCTGAATTTATCCCTCTTGGAAAGCTCAGGTACATGAACTTGAAAAAGTAGTCTGCACATGTTGGGTCCAGCTATACATTTGGGATGTGTATTTGCAGGAAAAAATGTGTGTTAGAAATAATATAAAAGGACATCTTATGCATCTGGCCTTTTAGTTTTAAGCGTAGGACACAACACGTTCCCATACAGGATGGGGACAATTCACACTTATTGGAGTGTAACCCTTTTTACAAAAATGTTAGCACTGGAACATTTTTATTCCTGAAATTACTTACTAGACATTGATGCTAATTGTCTGACACATATCAATACTAATTATGTTAATTTTAACAATAAATATCTACCATTTCATCAAATAGTAACATAGGCCTGTTGTATGCTGTTGAGTTACTTCTAGCATAGGTTGACTTCAGTAGGGTTTTTGAGGTACTTGAAATGTTCAAGGAGTGATTTATCATTGCCAGCCTCCCTCTCATGAATATCCATGGGCAAATCTTTACAGTCTTTCCGCAAGCAGGCAAAGACCTTTCTCTTCAGGCAGGCTTTTGCTGAGTGACTGTTTGCCAAGTGGGGTTTTTTAATGGGTTGTTGTACCTTTCTGCATTGAATGTATGTTGATGTTGCTTATGTTTTTAATACTGTATTCATTTGACTCTTTTAGTACTGTATACTCACTGCTGTTGGTTTAAATGCTGTCTTTTGTTGCAATGCCTTGGGTCCTTTTAAAATAAATAAATAATAAAAACAAATATCACACCCATTACACCACAGTGATTCTAACACCTAGGTCTAGAATGTAACATCAATTTAGAACTAAGTGTGTTAACTATCTATTTCAGGTTGAAGCATTAAATAAGATGAAGACTTTGAATAATCTAATAAAACTGAATGCCATGAAACAAAACAGAGCTAAAGGAAAGGAAGCAATGCATGCCTGTTTAAAACAGAGAGCATACAAAGAAGCTCTTTCTGATCTCCAGTCTCCTTTGAATCCTTCTGTTTTGCTTTCAGAACTGTAGTAAGTCCTGTAGTCTTCTTCTTTCATGCATGCCATAGCTCTTATGTTTAAACAGACTGGCAGAAGGCTCTTGCTCTTTGACTTCTGTTGGCTGTACTGTGCAGCAAAAGTGTTGACACCTAAGACAGCATTTCTTCCTATGTCTGGCAATCCCTTTTGCTTCATCGGAGCTGTGTAAGCAAATTGCTGCCTTCCTAGGGTCAAAGTGTCAACTTGAATTTGGACTGGACATGTTTGCAGTTAACTGTTACTACTTCAGTAGGAGATCATAATATTTCCCAGGGATAATATGATATTATAGTCATAGTGGCACCTTTCTTTTACTATAGTGAGTATGCCATGGTCTGGCAAACTTGAATTGTATATCTGGGATGAAATATTTTTGCTAAGTAAATATGGAACATTATTTCACATCTTGGAGGTTGTGGTTGCCAGATACATTCAAGGTCTATATAGCTAGCATTCCAGATTGCCAATGTTACTGATACTCTAGCAGCAAAAGGAAAGTTTTAAAAGGCATTTGTCCAACTTGTAGAGTTCTGTTACGAGATTTCCTTCAATAGTCATTCTGTTCCACTAACTTTTTCTCTCTCTTGGTGGCTTGGAATCTGCTTGCCTAATACTTCCTAATTCCTTCTTTATTATGCTTTGTTGTAGTGTGGAGAAGTGTAAATACATGGACTCTAAAATGAAGCCTCTGTGGATAGTATACAATAACAAAGTATTTGCTGGAGAGTTGGTGGGGATCATCTTTAAAAATGGAGATGGTAAGTGAATAAAATAACGTTATTTACTCCTGTTGATTCACTTCTCCATTATTTTAACTTTTCAGTTTTATAGTCAGAGCTTGGAAAAGTGGTTTTGGACTAATGAAATAAAACGTAAGTTTCCCAAGCTCTGCTCATTCTTTGATAAGCAAAGTGTCCTGGAGCATTCCTTGTATTTCACTACAGCTTTTACCAGGGCACAGTCTAAAAGGAGAATATTGTTCCCAAAATTGCTCACTTCTTTTGTGCAGTAGATGCTTGGTGGGAAAAAAAAATCCTCAAACAAACTGGGATTGTTTCAACCTATATAATGTTACTTCGTCTTTAAAAGCCTTTGATTTGATAAAATCATGTCTTCCTATCTTGCAGATCTACGACAAGACATGCTGACACTGCAAATGCTACGTCTGATGGATTTGCTTTGGAAGGAGGCTGGTCTAGATCTTCGGTAAAAGCACTTACACTTGCTAAAGTTCTTCACAAGCTGTTATTTTTCAGATATTTATAATTAGATTATGGAGATACCCATTAAATATAGATGACAAAGTGTTGTGAAAGTCCACTTCAGATGAGTGTGCATTTTTAATAATATTTATTTTCGGTACTTGGAATTAGATAATCATAGATCTATATTATGCCTGTTTTACCACTGGCGAGAATTTTACTGGATATTTATGTATGCATAAGAAGAATTATGGAAGTTACTACAGCTAGTTGATGAGGTACTGGTTGCCTATCACTTAACCCAGCTTGCTTCTACCACACACCCAGTACTTTGGCAATCAGCCGCAATAAGCTATGACAACTTCTGTGATTCCTCTTCTACCCATATGAATATCATAGGAGGTTGGTCATTGTTCCTAAATAACTCAGTCTGATTTTCAAATTCCCTTCTTGAACTGTGTTCACAGAGCCTTATTGGTGGCTATAGATATGTGCTGGGTTATGTCCAAAATTCAAACAAAATGGATGCTTTCATCTAGCCATCTTTAAAATTAGCTGATTTTATTGATACTAGAGATGGGCACAAACTACTGGTTTGGCAGTTTGTTCCAGTTTGTTTACTGTCACAAGAGGTGTTTGGTGGTTCGGCATCCTGCCTCCTGCAGCAGGCACCCACTCAGGGGCAGTGTCCCAGCTTCCCTGCCCCACTTCCTAGTTTGTTTCCATCTAGTTGATGCACATGTTCTTTCTCCCTCCAAACAATCACTTTATTTTATCCCTGCCCCACCTCCTCTAGTTTGTTTCCATCTCTAGTTCATACACATGTTATTTCTCCCTCCAAACAATCACTTTATTTTACTTGCTAAAATACTTACGTACCATGATTTGCTCCTGAAAAATTTCAAAGTAGCTAGCAGTTCAACAGCAGTTAAAATGCCAAAGAATCAAATAAACATCAAAACAGAACCCAAGCAAAAGAGTGAAGAAAAAGGCAGAACAAAAGCTATGGAGAAATCTCTTTCATACTTCTAAGGTTCTCCCAAAGTCCATTGAAGCACCGTAGACTTCCTCTGACTTCAGAAGGCCTCCAGTAAGGGAGCAAAAATGAATGTCACCCTAGGCGGAGATGCTATAGCTTTGGTGTCATTCAAAAAAAAAGCTCTGTCCTGAATAATGGCCAAGGTTTGAAACCCATTAGCTGCTGTGTACAATGTTTTAGAAGGAAATAAATTGTATTCCTGACACACCAGGTGATGGTCTTGAGCTCATCTTTTAAATATTTTTTGTAAGAGCTGAATAGACCAAAATCAACTCCAGGCACACAGCAATAGCCCACACAGATAAGAGAGATATTTATAAACAAGTGATCCATTAGGCACATATGCTATTCATGAGAAGGCTCTCTTTAATTGTGTCTCTGATATCAGAAAAATTTAAAGATAGATTTATTCAGGAAGTTCTTTTTTTCAGGGCAAACTAATGTGCGTTCATTTGCTCTGAGGTCAAATATTGCTTTACTGTCTCTTTGGAAACAGAAAAATATATTTGGAGACCTTTTTCATATATTTTGCAAATCAACAGTTCAACTGTTGCCAAGAGCCAGGGCAGGGTCTGCCTCTCCCATCAAAAAAAGGTTGATCAGGAGTTTCATATTTGCTGTCTTCACAGCGGATAGAAATGTATGCACATCCCAGCCCACACACTTTGTTTGGCAGCATGCCGTGAATTTGGGAGTCTTATTGGAAATTGTTTCTCTGATTCACTCTTATCTGAGGTTGCATTAAGGAAGTGGAAGAGAATGAGGCTGTGCACGGTTACTTTCAAAACCTCTTTGGAAATGATAGACCACAGTGAAGGAATGGGGTGAAATCAGATCCAACAGAACCCTTTGTTCATAGTTTTATACATACTCTTGACTGAGATGCAAGGATCTTATAAAGGAGAATTGCATTGACCAAATTCATTGAGTTATAGGGTAGCTTAGCTGGGCTTTTCTCCAGACTGGGGAACAGAAGGAGTACTAGAGACCACATATCACTACTTGCTCATGCTAATATCATTGAACTGTAGACTTGAAAGTGAATTCAGGGACTGTATAGTGTAATTCCTGTTATGGGACTACTTGGCCAAAATTCTACTGTTTCTTTTCTCCATAACATAAGTGAAGAAGTTGTGACAGCTAATTAACAATGTGCCAGTCATGTCGCCATCTGCACAACTGGCACTTCATTTAGTAGCCTCGGCTACTTGCTGCCACTTTCACCACTGTGCAGCTGAAAATAAAACAACAACACTATTTTGGCCGCCATATTTAATCACCCAAACAATATTTACCCAAGCTTGCCTTCTCTGAAAATGAGGCTGACCATGTGATATTGAAACTACTGTCAGTCAGGGACTGCTTCAAAGCCCACACTCTCCATAGGGAGAGAAGCAGGAGTTAATTTGCAAAACACCCTGTGATTATTAGAACTCTACAGCTTTAGAACATGGTGTTTTCCAGAAATCTCTGTTTAGGAATCTTCCAGAAATGCTTGCTGCTTGGTTATCCTTCTCTAACAAAGAAAAAAAATGAAACTAACTAATCTTCTAAATATTGTACACCTAGAAAAGCCCACAACAACCAAAAAAAAAAAGAAAAAAAAGAAAATAACTAATCTTCTAAATATTGTACACCTAGAGGTTTCTGCCCATTCTAATTTTCTTGTTCATTGTTATGAAGAATAATCATACCGTGCTATGTTGCCAAAAAAACAGTCACTCCCATGAAGGACTGGACTCTTGTGAATCAGATACAAAGTATTCATTTTTCTAGTAGTGTGAATGTACTGGGCCGTGGTGGCTGGAGGAAGGGTGCAAGGAATTCACTCCACGTTTTAGTCTGCACTTTAGAAGAGTTATCCAAGGTACTGATAGCTCCCATAAGTGCAGTCTAAAACCTGGATTGGCTGCACAGCTCCTCCTCCCCCCTCCAAATCGGAGTCACCAGAAGTGTCATAAACATAATGAAGCAGGGGCCGTGCAGCAAGTTATACAGATAAGTGGAGGATAATCTGCCTGGTCATCAATGCCTTTAGGCCCCTTGTGTTCCACTGCCCTGTCCTAGTCCCATCAACTGGGATGCTGTTATGAAATATCTACAAAAAAAACCTGCACAACTGTGTCATCTGAACAGTTACATTTTTTATTCCTTTTAACATTGGGACTTTGTATTTCCATACTTGTGCAAAATGCAGAAACTTACCACATGTCTTTGTCTTAGCTCAGAGAGATCTGTTTCCCTTCATACCAAGCCAAGGTTGATATTTTTCATTGTTATTTTCTGTTTTGTTATTTTATTACTTTCTTGTCCTCCACAGGAGTTGGTCTAAACTTTGGGGATTATTTCCTCAGTACTTCACATTTAATGTACAATGCAGTGCTTCACACATCAAATACATGCATGTCATTTTGGCAGTAAAAGAACAGATTTTTTGAGAAAGAGGACAACATTTACCATAGTAGCAGAGCTGACCAATCTTCCCCTGATTCATAAAAGCATAAATATGCATTGTCCATAGACTAATACATCCTGATTTTAGATATGAAGATACATCTGAAATGTGGCCCTGCACATTTGCATGCATACAGCAGCTGATGGTATACTATGTGTTACATCATATTTAGTTGGCTGTGCTTACACAAGCATGTAATGCCATATGCCTCCATATTCAAAATTTATACCAAACTACAGTCGGTATAAATCATGCAGAACTGTTTGTGCTTACTGTGAATAAGTGTGTTGCTGCAATACAATATGAACAAGGATTCTTTTCTTTAAAAGTGATATAATTATGGTTACAAAATGTGTATTGAGTAAACATGTATTTTTAAAGATTTTTTTGGTACTATAGGCATGTATACATGGGATCGGGGATCATTATATATGAAATAGGCTCGTTCTGGAAATAAGTTTCCACCCTTGGGAAATACAAAGGATTAAATTATTAGGATCTATGGAGAGCTTGGAAGAGTTACTTTTTTTTAGAAAACAGGTCTCAGAACTTTCATAGGCAGCTTGGTCACAATTCCAGCTGGCAGCTATAGTAACTTTTCCAAGCTCTTGATCTGACTCTCTCAGATCTTGCTTTATCAATCTATGACACCAGTAATGGAATAAACCTGAAACTTGATGTCAGGAATAGAGGTATGTACTTTGTAGGTTAAGAAACAAAAGGCATGGGGGGGGGAGGAAAGTCAGTTTGAAGTTGGTCAGGAGGTATTCATTGACTTTATAAAAGGGGGTCATTCTGACATGTTTGGGCATAGTAAAAGCAAAAAAAAATGCACTGACATATTTGAAAGAATCATGGCTTGAATTGATAGAAGAAATGTTTAGCAGACCTAAAGTAGCATGGTAGGAGTTAAACAGTATGGCAAAGAAATAGTCATTTCTCAGGCCAGCTTCTAGCTCTGTCAGTAGTAGTTTTCATATAGTTCTTTGATAGGGGCAAAAAGATCCACTGACAGATGTTGAAGGCAAGGATGAGGTAGAAAGGGCCCCCAAGGATTTGTCCCCAGCTTGACTCCTGTCAAACTGTCTCTCTGATGAGGATGTTTTTTCCTCCAGTTGTGAGTGTAGGGTTCTCAAGGGGCTGAGTTGCTTTCATCATTCCCTGCTTGTGAAGGGGAAGTTGTTGGAAATGTGCCCAGTGGAAAACGGCAAGCAAGGGTTTAAATGTCACGATGCACAGCAAGCAGCAGCAGCCGCATCACACTTTTAACCTCGCAAAGAACCTGCCATGCTTTCATTATGGTCCCAAATGGCTTTGCTGTGTCATCCCAGCAGAGATATCAGAACTATACAGCTGTGCTGTACAAACACCTGGATTCAAGGATTTGATTTTGGCATTGATTGTTGCAAGGGGAAGGTTTGAACTCAGCACTATAGACAGCTTCAAAAAAAGGATGCAGGGAAGGAGGCATTACCCAAACGTCTGTTATCAGCATTTTTTTGGAAATTAAACTGCCCTGGCTTGGCTGGCCTCTGTTAATGTTTAAATTTTGTAGGTCATCTGAGTGTTTTAATTTTGCAGCCATTGTTAGTTTTAAACAAAGAAATTGAACTGTTATCTTGTCTCACTTTGTGTGGCAGAAGAGATTTCTTTGATCAATTTTCATATATAATGTTTTAACATCTTATAAAAGAGTTGTTTCTTTGAATTTCAAGCTGCAGTGTGTATTTTTGTTCTTATTTTATGATTTTCTAATCCTGCAGAAAAGTTGATTTATCTTGGTTCAGACTGGCAATATCACAGTTTGTATGCTCAGTGTGGCTGTTTTGTTTTGTTTTGAATTTTGGCAATTCCTAAGTCCTCCATCCCTTATCTATCTTAAGCACTGAGATGCATGTTTATAGTATAGTACTGATAAAATGTATATCCCAAAGACCCCACCCCCAAATTCTTTCCATGAAAAGCACCCAGTCCTTACAGTACCCAAAGGAAGCTATGTGTCCCAAACCTAAAGAAATTTAAGTACAAAACATACCTGAGTTTAAAATGGGAATCAATTCTGAATAAAGCCCCCACCAAAGCAAAGTGTGCTGCTTATATACAGTGGACCCTCGACTTACAGACGGCTCGACTTACAGACTTTTCGAGTTACAAACTTCTCTGGCCGCAAAATTTAGGTTTGACTTGCAGGCAGAGAATTGACCTACAGACCAGAGAAAAACAAAATGGAACAAAAACGGAACAAAAACGGCCGGTTACGGATTAATCAGTTTTCAATGCATTGTAGGTCAATGGAGGCTCGACCTATAGACTTTTCAACCTGCAGCCACTGTTCCAATATGGATTAATTCCATAAGTAGAGGGTCCACTGTGCTTCAAGCACTCTCTGGGTGATTTACAAGTTAATTATGCAGGCTACACATTGTCCCCCAGCGAGCTGGATACTCATTTTACCAACCTCGGAAGGATAGAAGGCTTGAG